GAGTCACCAAGCCAAGCAGAAATGCTGTACGGGGAGGCACGGCTATCGCCCCGTTAAAGGCCAAGGTGTCTGAGTTAGCACCACAAGGGTGGCATCTTCACCTGTTTAGAAGCCAAAAACTGGAGTCTTCTCCCAAAGGCAGTGCCTGCAGTAGCCTTTGAAGAACTGAACATGGCTCACCCCTTTTGAAACACAGCAGCTGTGGGAGGGGGCATGTTGTGCAACACCTGGGCAGTTGCAGCACCTGCCAGGTTTTGCGCTCTAGCTCTCAAGATCAGCCCTGTTTCTTTTCTCGTGATTATTTAACAAAATTCAAAAAAACATCTTCTGAACTGACTTAAATCCAAGGCAACTTGCTCCCCCCTCTTTCAGGGTATCACAGTCATTAAATTACAAACATGTGCCCTGCATCTGAACACATCTATTTTCCATTCTGTTAAATCCAATTGGTTTCAACTGAAGAAGCATAAGGGGACCTTGCCCATACCTCCCTTCTCACTTTCCTCCAGCCTTGACACTGGCCTAGTGATTAGCATACTGTCATGGGAAGGAAGAGACATTGATATGAATGAGGACACACCTGAATCCAATTTCCTTGGTTGTCCAACTAGTCTAACAACTATGCTAACATGAGCAACCTGGTTTTGAATAACAGTGTCTGCTGCTACTCTGGCTTGTTTTGTTGGGTTTTTTAAAAGGAATTATTCAAGCTTTCACATCGGATCAGCCCTCATGAGTTTTAGCTGACACCTCAACTCATTTCTGCCTGGCATAAATCCCCAGTTACACATACCAAACACTACAAATGCTATGAAGTCTTTCAGATAAATCAGAATATGCCTATAGAGTTCAAGCAGCTCCATGACTATGCTGCTGCTGAAGAAGGTTGGTTGGATTTTTATTAATCAGTCTCCAATGAACCAAATCTTAGGACCATTTAAATACTTACATGCAGTATTAAATATGTATACCCCATATAGTATCAATTGTTTTTTAACAAACATTCACTATGAATAGGCATATCACTACAGATACACAGCTTGCAGATCAGTGTCTCAAGTTCTGATAAAAACTTACATTTACCACTTCTAATAATATTCAAGAGCTTTGTTTAGGACCTGCATGGACTGGGCAAACTGAACAAAGTAAGTGAATGAATGTCCACTTTACTTTCTTCCTTAGAAAAAGCAGAAACTAGTAGGTAGTCTAAGCATTAAAAAAGTGGCAAGTAGATTTACACAAAATAAAAATTGTAAAATGTCCCCTGACATTGATAATTAACGTAATTTTAAGATTTCCACACTGATCATGATTCAGCAATTTTGTTTTCTAAAACTAATCCACATGGGAATGAAAATAGTTTTAAATTAATTTGATTATCACACACTAGTCCCTATTACTCAAGCTGTGCCTTTTTTCATATCTAAATTACAAAACACTTTCAATAGCATTCTGTATTGTTCATTTTCCAAGGATATGATTATCATCTGAACATGTGGACAAGAGAAGCATTTTAGCTAATAACTATATTTACGTGTACAATCTATCCAGCCTTTCTGTAAAGGTACAGTGTGAAAACCCTTTCCATTTATTTAATTTCTTATTGTACAGGGCTTCCTCTCCATTCTTTCAATTAAACATATTTTTTTTTTTCAACTGAATCCTTTGCAGCAGCAATTTTAATGACTTACTCTCTGAAGTTTTAGAAAAGCTACTTCCCTTTCTGAGGACTATTCCATGCTGCTGTCATGTCTTCCTCACAGCTGTTCTGCCAGTCTCCCAGACATTTCACCTCCCTACCTCTGCAGCTAGCAGCTCAGATCTCCCTAGCAGTGCTTAAAGAGAAACAAAGTAGCTGGCAGAAAATGAGTAAGCAAAACAAGCAGCTTTGCCATCAGGTGTAAAAAGTGATTAACTAATCCAACTTCTACACCTGCACAGCTTCTGTGATTTATGTTACATGAATCCCAGCACTGACTCATAATTTCGGGGGGGGGGGGGGAACCAACAACCAACAAACCTGCATACATAGTTTCTGACCTTGTAATAAACTCAAGCTGAAATGCTTACTTTGAAAGAACCAACGCATATTTTTAACCACATTGGTTTTTTGCTGGTTTTGTTTTTTGTTGTTTTTTTGTTGTTGTTGTTGATGTTAGTTTTGTTTTTTTTTTTCATTCCAAGAACTTGGTTCTTTTGTGCTACTCATGCCCTTCCCATCATGAGACAGCCTACACCAGATGACAGTAAACTATATACTGAACACCTCACCCTGTTATGCTGTTGCTTGCTTTCTCACCCTCCAGAGTTCTTTCATTTTAGACCTATCACAAAGACCTCACATCCAGCTCTGCCACACTAACGCAAACACCTTTAGTCTCCCAAGATTCCTCTCGATCCAGCTAATGACAAAAGCTATGGTGTGAGAGCAGCTATGACCTGGAGATTATCAGAACACAGTATCATCACAGGGCTACCCCCAACTGCCTGCGGGTTGAGAGATTTCATGTGATGATAGTATCCAAGGTAAAGAAGGGTGAGGTGCTTTAATTATACCACTATTTGGCTGTCAAATAAGGCATTTTCCAACTTTGAGGCAACTATTTTAAGACTTAAATTATGCATTCTAATGTTCTGAGATATATTAAAATGGAGAAAAATAATGCAAAAAACCCAACAGCGCATAGAACTGAAGTATGGCTACCAAACCATGAGTAACACATTTCTTTAAATGTGATTAAAAACTCAGAAATTCTAGAATTATTTAGACAAAATTACATGTGCTTAATCAGCTATTTGAAATTTTGAAATGGAACAGGTATAGAAAATTACCATCTTTTCCTACTAACTGCAAACAAGAAATTAAATTATTTAATGAAAGAGGGTTCTTAAATTAAATATTAAAACTTCCTTTTGGGACTGAAATTCCATATCAACTGTAATTACACCTGGAGAGGGGAACCCTAAACACTATTACTTCATCCCCATTGAGCTAGGAAAAATAAGGTGATAGGATAAAAAAAAATCCCAAACTATCAAAATTCAAAGCAAAGAAGAAATCACAGGAATGTTGTTCTAATTTGTCAGCTCTCAGGAATGTATTTTTGAAAGGAAAAGGACCTTTTTTTTTCCAGAAGTACTAGAATTTAGTCCTCATAAATAACAAAGTGGACTAACAACTTCAACCTGGTATAGGTATTAAAAATCTCATGCTCTTAATAATTCAGTAGTTAAAAAAAACCCAAACTGAGATGGAGCAATACAGTAATGGACTGGGGGAAATTATTTCATTATACCATATCTTATAATTTCAATTCCACACAATCCAACATCATGAATTATTCTCAGAAAATACTGTATTTTATAGCTTTGGTGAATCAGTACTACTAAATATGAACAAATTTCTGCAGTTCAAAATTATATTTCTTCAGACAAGCAAGGTGCTAAATATGGGTTCTGTTCCCAGTGATTTACCAAGGAGAAAACTCATTTATAGCTGACAATAAAATAATTAGTAATGTCCTCTCCCCTCCCCCACCACTCCAGGTCAGGTACATTCAACTTGAAGGCAAAACTAAGAAAACTATGATGTCACTTTTCACTAAACCTGTTGCATATGAATTTAAAAGCTTCAGTGCTCAATTACAGCAAAGTTGCTGGGGAAATTATGCCAGCTGGAAACTCAAGCACCTAGTCCCGAGCTAAAATGTCTGTTAACTTCCTTAGTTACCTGTGGCACAAAGTTTTCCCAGGGCAAGAGACAAACAAGCGCACCCGGGGTCTGTGTCACTGGAATTCCTGCCGTGCAGGCTTCACAATGTCAATTACTCTGCTGTCACCTGAAAAGTGGTCTGTCAAAAAGATGCTTCAATTTTATTTGTTTTTAGTACTAATTCAATTCTGAATTACAGAATAAGGAAGTCTTCCTTCAAGAAAAGTAAGACATGTCACTCAGACAACAGAATTAGATGAAAATACCTTTAGATGAGATTGGATTTTGACCAGTGATTAATGTTTTGCCAAATGTAACTTACTTAGAACGTAGACATACATATTTAAAGAGAGAGAGAGAGAAAAAAAAAGGCACAAACTCTGAAAAGTATCAATGAGCTAATTTTCTCTGAAAGAGTAAGCTTAACTATCCATAGCTTGCATATTCTTGAAACCAAGAAGAGTATCAGTTGTAAATTTTGTTATGGCAGAGCTGGGATAAAAACCTCATAGAGATACCTAATGAATCACTAGTTCACACACTACACCTGACCTGAAGCTGCTTCCTTTGCCTACATACTTGTCAACAAAGAACAACGGGTAGAAGTAACATCAAAATACAGGCAAAACAAACACCGTGCCACGTTAGAGATAGCTACAATGAAGCAGAACCTAGTTCATAGTTCCGTTGAACTATGAGGGTCAACAGAAAACTCAGAAAAATAAAACCACTACTTGTTGGGAAGGTTAATGAGTTTTGTAACTTCTTCAATCTAGAGCAACAGATTCCCTCTGTCCCCTATGTCAAAACAAACAAAATCAAGTAACATAAATCTCGGGGGGGGGGGGGGGTTGGAACCAACTAAAGAAAACCACAGCATTTCCTCCACGGCGGAGCACAGCGGCACTGGACAGGGTGCTGCTTACACATGCTGCCGCTCCCCGCTTCTTGACCGCTTCCCGAGGCGGCCTCGAGAGCTAGACGTGCCTCCAAACGCCTGAAACCCCCATTACCTTTTCCTCCTAAGCAAGCAAGCCAGCCCACCCCACCCCGGGTACGCTCTTCGTGAGACAGCCCCTCAAAAACCTAGCCTCAGCGATCACCCCGCACCCCAACAAGCACACACAACGCCTGCTGCTACGGGCATGCGCAGAGAGTAAGCACAGCCAAAAGATGCATTAGCCGCGAGCGACGCTTGCCATTGGCTGTCGGAGATTACCGAGTGCTTTCGTGCTCCTCCGGCACGACGCCGAGGGCGGCTGGCATGAGAAGCTAAACGGCTCGAATGCGGCGCAGTGTATTGTGGGGCGGAAGAAGAGAGTCACCGCTCTGCTGGGGCCGCCATCTTGCCTGCGTCCGGACTTGCTCCCGCTTTCGGGGCCTGCTCTTTCTCCTCACAGCGCAAAGCGGTGGCAAGGGGGAAAACGACAGGGCCGCCTGGGCGGTGCTGATGCGTGCGGAGCTTCCTCGCACTTCTCTCCGGCGCCGCTAGCGAAGGGGGCGGGGGTGGTCTGAGCGGTCATCGGCGCGGCCTCTCCTTTGCCGGGATGGGTCGGTCCCGCAGCCGGAGCTCGTCCCGCTCCAAGCACACTAAAAGCTCCAAGCACAACAAGAAGAACCGGAGCCGATCGCGGTCCCGCTCCCGGGAGAAGGAGCGGGCGCGGAAGCGATCTAAGTCCCGGGAGAGCAAGCGGAACCGGCGCCGAGAGTCCCGCTCCCGGTCCCGCTCCAACACGGCCCCCTCCTCCCGCCGAGACCGGGAGCGGGAGCGCGACCGCGCCTCCTCCCCGCCCGACCGCATCGACATCTTCGGGCGCACGGTGAGCAAGCGCAGCAGCCTGGACGAGAAGCAGAAGCGGGAGGAGGAAGAGAAAAAAGCGGAGTTCGAGCGGCAGCGGAAAATGTGAGCCCTGGGTCTGGGCTGGGCACTTCGGGGGGCCGATGGTGAGGGTGCGAGGGGAAGGAGGAGGACAGGAGGTACTTCGTGCCCTGGTGGCTTTTCCTCCGCTCTTTCCTCCGGCCTAGGGGCGCCTGCCACTGGGGTGAAGACGTTTAGGCCCTTGCTGAGGCCTAACCTCTGCCTTTTTTCCCGCCATCCTTCCCTTCCCTGAAGGCTTGGCTCTTTCAGGGGCGTTGGATGCGGCCGCCCGCTCCCTCCCTGCGCCGGCTCTGCTCGATTCCTATCTGCCGCTGGTCTGCTCGGAAACTTCCTCTGCAGTGGGGGCCTCCGCACCGCGGAGGCTTTGTGCTGCACTGCCACACTGCCCGCCCCTCCCCTCACTGCGTGGCGAGCTGCTTGTGCCTAGAGTGGAGGCGCCTGATGTTGCTCAGCTAGGAATTTAAGAAATACCATGCATCGATTACAGTAACACTGAGGGTTGGGGCATAGAAGGATGCAGGAGAGGGACTCTTCATCAGGGACAGTAGTGGTAGGACAAGGGGCAATGTGTTTAAGCTTAAAGAGGGGAGATTTAGGTTAGATATAAAGAATAAATTCTTTATTGTGTGAGTGATGAGGCACTGGAACCGGCTGCCAAAGGAAGTTGTGAATGCTCCATCCCTGGCAGTGTTCAAGGCCAGGTTGGATGGGGCTTTGAGCGGTGTGGTCTAGTGGAAGGTGTCCCTGCCTGTGATAAAGTGGTACTTGTTCTTTGAATGTTACAGTTGCTCATTGGAGCGCTGAGTGTAGAAGCAGCACGTGTTTTTATGTGTGAAGCCAAGTAGTAATGTTAATTCTAAGGTGGAGCTTTGAGTTTTATTGAATGAGTTTTATTGAATTGTTCTACTGAAATATTAATTGTGGTTCAGAAGGCTTGATCACCCCGAGTTGTCACTTTCTTTTTTGTTTGTCAGTAATCTCCTAACTTCAGAATTTGGCAGTGATGTCATCAAAAACTTGCATAGTAACACAAACATGTGAAAATGTTGAAGGCTTGTTGAGTCATTGATCCTAATTTTGTGGTTTATAATTTTATTCAGTACCTAAATTAATAATATTCCATGCTTATCTGCGGTGAAGAATTGGAATGTGCTTAACAATTTGAGAATGCAGTGTAATGCAGATAATAGTTTTAGTATTCTGGAGCTGGTTTAGTTCATGTGTAAGTTTTCTATTTAAATTAGCTTTGAAATTTAAAAAAACCCTGTGAAGTTTATATAGGAGGAATATGACATTTGAATGATATTGGCAACCGGATAGTAAACTTATGAAGGAGAAACAATATTGGAAAAGATTTGGTATAGAATTTTGATACTTCTAGGATACAATTTATATTCCAAAAGAAAAAGTAATATTATCTAGTAGAGTAGATTTCAGTAAGTCATCTGTAAATTGTGTTACATATGGTAGTATATACTCATGCAGAAGTACTTTCTTGCTAACTAAATTAACTAGCGGACAGTTCATATATTGAAATTCACTTTATTAGTCTCGTGTCTCTTCAAACGTTAGTACATAGCCTTCTGCTTTTTCTTATAATGCTAGTTTTCCATAATGGCCTTGCAAATGTGACATTTTTTTCCATCTGAAATCTGTTTAAATGTAAGCAGTGTCTTTTCTGCAGATTTCATTAAATTACTCTTAAGAAGTAAATGGTTCATACTAAAAATGCTTTTACATTAATGGCTTATCTGTTGCTCTGGTGTCATGGCTCAGTAGGTCAGTATGATAAACTTACACCTGTATATAAAATACTGTCAGTTCATGCAATTAAAATAATAGTGGGTATAGTCTACAGAACAGATCATTGAAATTTATATCTGGTTACAATTTTATTTTTGTTATAAAGTTAAAGCCACTATATATATTATTATATACTTATAATATTGTTGCAGCCTTTGTGAAAAGATACATTTGGTTTAATTAAGTTTGAATGGAATTACTTGGGCTGAGAAGAAAGAAATGTGTGCAGGCACAGTGCTTAGTAGTACATCCATCATCAATTGCTGAGTATATTTGAAAACTTAATTCAGATATGAGTGTCTGGGGTATTTTTATAACTATGTGGCGTCATTATTCAGTTAGCTAACATTCTGGATTTTCCCAGTGTTAAACATGAAGCTAAAATAAAATAATAATTAGAAAAACAAAAAAAACCCCAAAACCAACCCAAAACTTCTGTGAAACAGCCTCTTGTGTATATTAAGCTGTATCAGTACAGGATGGTGAGAGTACTTGCTGCTGAATACTTGTGGAGGGTTAAAGAAACCCCTTTAAAATAAAAGGATGCTTAGTATATAAAAGACGTTTAAAATTTGTCCAAAAGGATTGTAGGTAGTGGCTCGTCAGAGGCATGCTAACAGAATGGGGTTAATGTTGTCTTTTTCTCGATAGTGGTGGTAAAGACCATGGGATCCTGTGTTGCTTAAGTTAAAGTAAATGCTGGCCTAATGTGCTACCAGGTAATTTTGCTGTCTCATGAGGAATATAAGAATCAAATTTGTCTTCTGGGGCTGAGTGTCTTAAGTTGAGGGTTCCAAAACTTTTTAATGAAGGGAGATAACTAGCTGTTTGGTTCAGTACACTTTTTGGAAAAAGAAAACAGAAAAACCAAGCAAACCAACAACCCAAACGGAAAAACCCTAAACCAACCAACAAACCATGAACAGGGGAACTTAAGAGCCTTTCGCCTCTGTATTTCATGTGTTTATCTAGATCAGTATTCCATACTTCATTATCTCCTTTTACATATTTGCAAATTGTACACTAGGAAATCTAAAAGTTAACAAATCCTGCAACTTTTTTTTTTAATGAGTTGCTTTTGTGTGTCTCAGTATAAATAAAAAAATGCAAACTTATTAATGACAAGGGTATTAACAGGAAAATGACAGGATATTAGGATATTACAGCAGCAGTCGTTACTCTAAATCATGGATTTCTGGTGCTGACAGGCCAGAAGATAAGTTTCTAAGATTGTTCCATAGTTAACATAATACTTAAAATGAGAGTTCATTTTCAAGGTTGAAGAGAATAACCTTCTCCCCAAAGCCCATAATAATTCCAAATAAGTAGTATCCTACAACACATAGCTATACACTACTCACTTTTGTTCGTCTAGGGATATCTAATTGCCATATGGTACTAGTGATTACTACCTGTAAGTTTTTTTGTTTTTTTTTTTCCTGCCTTTGGTAATAAACCTGGCAAACTGGCATAATATTTTTGTATTCTTTTTAATGAAAACTTGTGACAGTGATCAGGCTAAGTGATAATACTGCTGCAAATAAAAGATAAAAACAAGAAGACATTTGAATATACTACCAAAATTCAGGACATGGAAAACTATAAGGATTGCAAGGATTTATTTAGCACTTCATATATTTTTTTTGATAGTTATGTTAGAAACCATTATTATGCTTTATTGTGATGCTGCAATAAAGATGTTAAGGAGAGCAGAGGTATTTGAAATTTGATAAGGTAGATAACAACTAGATTACAGATACAACATCTGATTCAAATTGCGAATTCTATTGCTTCTGTCTTCTATTTTAGACACTAGGGATTAGTTTGATGCTTCTGAGGTGGTTGCTTTAAGATAAGTCTTACAAGATGTTTTCTTAAAATTGAGACCATTTGAATTCCTGAAGGGTGAAGGGTGGGCACAGTTGGATGAGGTCTTTTATTTTTATTTTCCACTAAAAGTTATCAAGAAGTCAAGAGAAGATGTCTCCTCAAGCTTATTCTCCTAAAGAAATTAAAGGGTACTAAATACGTTACGGTCTGAATGGGTTCCCTGGGATAGAAGTACTGATTGCCTGAATATTAATTATCCTTAAATGTATGGCAAAATGTTCTTTCTGCATAATCTGTGTGTGCAAGGTATAAAACTCTTCTAAAGTGGTTCAGGAGTGTGGTTGATGATGTGTATTTGAAAGAGTTTGTTTCAGCACAACCATTCTTTATTCATTAAAAAGGTAATACTCATGTTTGCGTTTTGTAGTCGTCAACAAGAAATTGAAGAGAAACTCATAGAAGAAGAAACTGCTCGAAGAGTGGAAGAGCTTGTGGCTAAACGCGTAGAAGAAGAGTTGGAGAAAAGGAAGGATGAGATTGAGCGAGAGGTTCTCCGCAGGGTGGAGGAGGCTAAGCGCATCATGGAAAAACAGTTGCTCGAAGAACTCGAGCGACAGCGACAAGCTGAACTTGCAGCACAAAAAGCCAGAGAGGTAACGCTCGGTCGTTTGGAAAGTAGAAACAGTCCATGGCAAAACTTTCAGTGTTGGTTTGTGCCTCCTGTTCTGTTCAGAAAGAGATGGAATACAGCAAATCTAATTCACTTCTCGTATAAACTTGAATTGCTGCGAAACTTAATTTCTAGCCTATTCAGGGGAGCTCACTGATATTAAACAGTCATTCTCCTAAAACCTGAACAAGGATACTGATTTTTAATGGAACTGACCTACATATTTCAGAATTGTTTGAAACTTTTGCCATGGCTGCAGGATTTATCAGCGGTCCTTTCATTTTTGGGGAAGGGTATTGAAAATCTGTAATTTTGTATCCTTAATTTGTTTCATTTTGTTTACCTAGACTGTAAGAGGCTTTTGCCTTCAGTCAGGCAAAAATCAGGGTCCAACAGTGAGCTGCAGTACCTGTCTTTAACAAATAGGTTTCTTATTCTTCATTTAAAATGAATGTTTTCCTTGAGCAAACACTGGACTAATTCTGGGACTTCGAGCATAAGCCATCCATGTCTTCACGAAGGATCTATGTCCAAATCATTATATCCAGTTTTAATAACTACTAACAACTCCTTTTATTTTATTTTTTTTTCCCTCCTCCAAGAAGTTATAAAAGAGCAGGTTGCCCTTGTCTGAAGTCAAGCTGAACATATGACTTGGGTTTTTTGGTTTTTAATCAGCAGCTGGAGCAGAAGCTGAAAATGTCTTTCTGTGAGACAGTAATTTGCTACTAAAGGCTTTGATGCCTGCCTGCACCGATCATTCCAGGATTCAGAAATTTCAAGGCAAATTTTAAAATTGTAAAGGAAATTTGTGCTAAACAGAAGTCTCAAATGCCCTTTTCATTCTGCCTCCTACACAGTTTATCTTAAATTAATATTTTGATTGGCTTACAAAAGGAAAGACAGTAGCAATGGAGCTTTCCCCTTCATATGATGTGTGACTTGCCTGTCACATAATGTCTTTAATTTGAAAAAAAAACAAACAAACCCCAAAAAACCCCAACAAACCAAACCACTGAGATACAACAAATATCAGGAATATTAAATCACATTTGTTCTGCAAATTCAAACCTTAGTATCAAAGAATTTAAGTTAAATTTAGATGTCTGTAGTGAGCAATTGCTTCATGTATATAGATTTTCGTTTGATCAGATGGGTGACTACTTTTTCTTTTTTTTTCCCCCCCAAGTATTTTTGCTATTGTCAATGTGATGTGATGAAGTCCCATTGGTTCTTTGTAATGCAGAATAACCCTCCATGCCTGGAGTGAAGTGTGCTAGCTAGTAGCTGGTTACTAGTCATAGTAAGAAGTTTTCATATGCTTGCTTTGTTCGTATTAACTTTTTTTTCTTACACAGACACAAACCTCTGGCTAACTTTAAATCTTCCAAATATTAAAATAATTTGGATATATATTATGTGAACTGAAACACCTCCAAAACTTTCATGCAGTCTTCATATTTGAGTTGTATAACAAGAGTTCCATAAAATCCACCAAGAAAACAATTACAAGGCTTTATTTCCTGATCTTGCCTTCCCTGGACTCCTGAATTCCAAGTTCAGACTGCAAATGACAGTTTCAGCTGTCTTAAAATTGTCAAAATATTGAATGTTAAGTCCATTCTCCCCATGAAAGAAGCCCATAGCTCCATGAAGTATGGATTACCATTTGTATTTTTCACTAACAGTAAATGTATTTTTCTTATTAATTGTTTGCCTTAGGAATGATTTACATATTTTTGTTCCTTCTTATCATAAACATCTGCATTCCTCAGCTCAGCCTTCCCTGTATGTTGTTTCTTTATAAATGGTTGAGCTGCTGATGCAGGTATTGCCAAGCTAACAGTACAAATCATTTTAAAGAGGAAGCTGGCGTGTATGGCAGCCGAGGAGCACACTCTGCAGGACACTGGACAAGACAGTAAATATTCAACTTTTAATGCTGATTAAAGGAGTATAGGTAAAGAATACGTAGGTATACTTAATTGGTGAGACAAACTATTCACTTTATTTATATTTTCTATATTACTTTTTAATTTGGTAAATACTATCCAGTTTTTGTAGTTGTCCTTGTTGATTTGTGTGATATTAAAATTCTAATAATAAATTGTCAGGATTCTGTGATTAGGGAGGGTTTAGTTGGTTGCTGTTTGGACTGGGCGGGGTTATATAAAGTGAGTGCTAGAAACCAGTATTAGTGGCTGCGCAGTTTACTGTTGTGAGACAAAATAGGTGGCTATAAAGCTGCCACTTTAAGTCAGTTCACAAAAGAATTATGAGAAAGATTAGTGAACGTGCAGAAGTGAGTATTTTACTTTACTAACATCTTTCCCTGTCCTCCCGTTTAGGAAGAAGAGCGTGCAAAGCGTGAGGAACTAGAGCGAATACTAGAAGAGAATAATCGAAAAATTGCAGAAGCACAAGCTAAACTGGTATGTGAAGATGTAGTTAACTGTTCTGTAGGGGAATACAGGTCCCTATGCCTAATTTGCAACACAATTAAATAAACAATTTGAACTTTTCTGGAGCTTAACTTGTCTGTTGCTGGTTATATCAGTAGTGTTGCTCTTCTATTGAGCAGATCCTCAGCAGTAACACTGGTTTGAAAAAATAGTTCAGGTGCACTTAATTCAGAGGAAGATAGAGGCCTTCAGAATTTAAAAAGTACTTTTTCTTTTTTTTTCTTACTGTATCTTACAGGGAAGGTTGAAGTAAGTTTGCAAGTTATGTTCTGCTTCTGAAACAGAAGTGACTACTTATGTTTTGTTGAGCAGGACAAGCACAAACTGAATTTTTGACTAGTATAACATTGATGTACAAGTGCTGAAAGGGACTTTCAGCATAAGCTTAAGATGTCTTACATTACAAAAGTCTAGTTTATACTGGTTTCCAAGACTATTTAAGCAGGTGTCTGCCTCTTGAGAACATTCAGTATGATTTAGCTGATTCTAATCAATTAATGATAACCTCAAACTAAGCCGCTTGTAAATCCTGATGGAACTCGTACCAGCTTCAATTACCCAAGCAATTACACCATTTTCAGATAAAGACAGTGCTTCTTAAAATTGATTGAACTATGTCTGCTTTACACCTCTTTTCTGTTTTACCCTTTTCCCAACCTCATATGGTGGAAATGGGACAATTAAAAAATTGAAAGTATAAACTGACAAAGTGAACAAAATAAGCACCTTTAGAAGACCATTGGAAGAGCTGTAAGAACCGTAAGTCAGTGTAAGGATTGGCTTGTTAGAAATCATGTGAAGTTGGTTTTGAATTTGGAGGGGGGAGTTACAGGTATTTTTGAGTGGGGAGACTTCTGAATGTCTGTTCCATCATTATATTGTGCTTTCATCTGACACAACAGGTGTCAGGGGAATTTCTCCATGCATACACGGACTTCCTTAATTAAAATGTATTGTTTGCAAAGCAGTGCTGAAAAGCGTTGCCTGTAAGCAGTCAAGATTTTGATACATTAGCTGTAGAAAGTGTTCAGTGTTTCTTCTGCATTCAAATAACAGTTTACAAATAGTTTCATTGAAACCAACTAGGGCCATCTAGCTCAGGTAGAACTGCTTACATACCTGTGCAGGATTGGACCTGTTTGGAAGTTAATACAGACTTGTAAATTGCTTTTATGACTACAAAATATGCTGGCCTAAATTCTACAATTTTCATATATAGGCTGAAGAACAATTGAAAATTGTTGAAGAACAAAGAAAGATTCATGAGGAGAGGATGAAACTAGAACAAGAGAGACAACGTCAGCAAAAGGAAGAGCAAAAAATTATCCTGGGCAAAGGAAAGTCTAGGCCAAAACTGTCCTTCTCACTAAAAAGCCAGGATTAAATTGCAACTCTGAACTCTTAAACAAAAAAATCCAAACCAACCACCACCAACAAAAAAGGAAAAATGGAAAAAAAACAACCCAACAACTTTGTATGGTAGCTTCATGTTGAAGTGTGGGGTTTTTCTTTTTTTTTTCCCCTCTCTCCATTTTTTCTTTTTTTTTCTTTTTCCCCTTTTGTCTTTTTTTTGGAAGTCTGGAAAGTTCGCTTGTTCTGATAGGGGCCGTGCTCTGCAATTCTTAATTTTTTAAAACTTCCATTAAGTTAAACCCTTATCAGATCATTGTTGCATTTTAGAGTGCAATCTGTTCTCATCAGTTTTGTAACTGTATTAGTGGTCTGAAGCAGATCAGGTCACTTTGAATTGTGGATGATCTGGTAAGGTTTTACTGACCTACTCATCAGAGTTTGACTCTGATAATTGACAGGACTTTATACTGGGTATTGCTGACTTTTAATTTTTTTTTTTTTTAAGTCAGTAAATACATGAATAAATTGCCATAGTATTACTGGACTTCTGTGGTTTATTGTTAAATCAGTGTCCTATGATACTGTCCCATTGTTGCGCTTGATGTTCCTGATACAGGTAAGGAAATAGTTTGTCATTTCTGCTATGAATACATAGAGGGAGTTCAGTATTGTCTCTGTTAGATTTGTTTTTATTACATTGACAGCATTCAACCAGCTTTCCTCATTGTGTAAATAAACTGATTTGCTGAATAAAGTGAAAGTCTTAAATTCATATGTTTAAGTAAATTTTTTTAGTACACATCTATAAATGGTTATAAAAGTGACAATTCACATTATTAAATTCAAGGTTATAGTATTTTTTTTTTTTTTTTTAGTTTTGCTTTAAACTACTGTGCTTCTACTTATAATGCAAGATTACACACAGTAACAAATCCCTGCAGTTGTGAATGTTTTTGATGGCTGCTGCTCTTTTCATGAATGTTGGTTTTTATTCTGACAGAGACTTATTTCAGCCATAGTATCATGTTTAAACAGCTGTTTGGCTTACTGCACTCAGACCAATACTTTGGTATCTAATCCCTTTCGGTTCACCTCATAATACAGTATAAGTTAAGGTCGTGACCATATAATGAATCTGATGGATCCTAACGGATTTAAAAATTGAAGTTTTTTTCCCAAAGGACTGGACTGGCAAGCATACTTGAAGTGAAAAACAGAAAGTGAGATTCTGTCTAAATACATTGTTTTAGCCAGAAAGCAACTGTTATTTGTATACAGATCTTGAATGTTGTCCGTTTATATATACAGGTTTTATTTTGAAAAATTAAACTACAGATTGAAAAGTATATATAAAATTCCCCTTTTTGTATATAATTATTCTACCAAAACCTGGATTACTATAGCTTGTCCAGTTCGAAAACTTTCTCCTATTGTTGTGCGACTTGGGTATTAACCATAAAATGAAAGTTACCAGTAGTTGCGTGAGCATTTGAATGTCACTGGACAAAGTTGGAAATAATTCCTGATATTCCCAAAGGATCTGTTTCTGTAGGTTTGGCAAATTAAATGTGTGGGAGCAAGTTGACATGCATTGCTTTGTCCAGTATGTCAAGAAAAATGTGAAGACAGTAAAATACCTACACTATTACTGTACTTAAATTTGTCTATATATTGTTACAGAAGAAGGTTGAAGGTTGCTTAATGCATAGAAACAAAAGCTGAAGCCAAATAAATTGTGTGCATGACCTGTTGGCAGGAGCAGGCTGTATTTAAAACTTAACTGATACCTGTATTTCTAAACCAGAAAACATCCCCTGTTCCCTTATGAGAAACAAGCTATTAAAAGTCAATACTCAAAACAGACCTATGCATTTTTGTTTCATCTTCTGAAAGCAAGAAGTGAAGTTCTCATACGTGCAGTTGTGGTATCAAGTATTTTCTTCTAATAGTGAATTTGCAGCTAAGTAATAACATCTGTTTTTTACACTTAACATTGTGTAGGCTTAGACTTTGTTGTTTCCAGGAGTGTTCCTTTAGGACTACTGTGCGAACAAAATGTCTGATCACAGTTTGATCACCCCTTCTGCCATTCCACACACCTTCCTACCTGCCTTTCCTTCTCTCTGCCCTCAAAAAACGAAGAGCAGATAAAGTGGCTATGTATTTCTTTTCTCCTCCCACCCCCCACCCAGAAAAAAAAAAAGTGTTCAGTTGGTAGAAGTCACTGTCTCTTGGCTTGTCCTAAAGTATACGGTATTTCTTGGATAGTTTTTTGTAGACCCAGTGTGGGAGGATGACACATTTATTATTCTGGAGCTTGCTTGCTTTTCAAAATTATCATAGGGCTTCAGGGATGCTGTCATTTTCTAGGAAAAATAGAGGTGCACACAGTTTAGGAGGGGGGTAAAGTGACATTTGATGATAAGGATTTGATGTTCTTAAATTCCTTAAAAACATGATACCTGACTAATGCAAAGTAGGTTAGAACATAGGCTGACATATACGTAGTGAGTATGAGCTTTGGGGGAGGGGTTTACAGAAGGATACTGGCCTACATAGAGAAATCTCTCCTAGAAGTTGCATTGGGTGTTTAAGTTTGATTTCATTACAGTTTGAATTTTCGACTTTAAATTTTGGTTAGACAATTTTTGGTTTACTCCGGGGCTTTGTGTGTTGGGGTTTTTTTCTTCCCCCAGGGAGGCAGGTAGGCATTTCCTGTTACCACCTACCTTCAGCAGTATTCATTTACCTTCTATGATAACAGATCTTAGTTTTCCCAATGCCTGTTTGCAAAGGCCCTGGAGCATTATTGTAATACTGAACAATGCATCTCTCCAGCAGAGGTGGGAGAGAGCAGGAGGCCTTTACAGCAGTGTCCTAGCAGTGTGCTGTTAGCTCGGAGATTTGTTAAACTGCCCTTTGAACTTCCCATGTTCATTATCATCATTTTTCCAAGCACAAGTAGAAAGCTGACTGCAGTGAGACACGTTGGAGAGCCAGTGTCCTTGAAGCAGACAATTATGTTGGCAAGATGTCTAAGCTGCCAAGCAACTGTGTGCCTCTGTATGGACAGATATGTCAGTATTATCTTACTGAAGTATCAATACTTCATCTGCTTCGTATCTTGTCTTGAAAAAGAAGGATCTGTCTTCTTTGTCTCTCTTTGAAGCTTTCTGTCACCTCATACACTTCACCCTTGCTGACTTGAAGATTGTAAACCCCTCTTTCTGATGCTATACAGTCGTTCAGCTTTTTTGTGCCATTTTTTGCATGTACACCTAATATGAAGGTGCTGGCTGTGATTCACTTTGAACTGCATGAAGCGTCTCTTTAAACATTTCAGCGTGGGGGATGTGTGGTCCTGGCAAACAGGAGGAAAATTATTAGCTCAGTTATTACAGGGTCTCAGTGCAAGTTCAGGTGGAATTCATGCTGATAAAAAACACTTTTCAGTTTGCATTACAGAGGTGATTTATTTCTGAAGAGAGCGGTAGAGCTGCCTGTGTGCCTAAGGCTCATTCCAAGGCAGGAGGATATGGTCGAAGTGCCTGGGCTGGTAGAGTTTTGGACCAACAGGCTGGTCCAGTTGGAGCTGAACCATGACTTTCATGCACCTCTATTCCATTTCTGTGCTAGTACCACTGAACACATGCATGTTGGGGTTATCCCCATCTTCCCATCCTGCTGTTTTGTTTGCCAGCTAGGGAGTGCTGTTGACATTTCTATGCTGAGCAACCTAATGCTTCTCATTGTCTTTGCTGGACAGACGAACTAGGGGTTAGGCTGGCACAGTGGTCAGCTCTGCTTATGTATGTAAACCTCTAGTAAAGATGGTCAAGCAGCAGAGTTTTGATCCCTGGTCTTGTTTTTCACCCACGTTATCACAGACCACAGAATAATGCAGGGATTTTTGTTTTCACAGAGTAATACTGAAAATCAGTATAAAAATAAGTCAAAATGTGAATTAAAATGCATAGTTAGGATGTACTTCTTGCCTGATTTCATTACAAGGCTGCTTGAATTCTTTAGGTGTGTTGAGGAGGAGCCATTCTCATTTTCTAAGAAGCTATGGTTAACCAAAACAGACATGGAGGAGACAAATTAACATCTAGATACACACTCTACCATAAAGTGCAGAAAATGCAGTTACGGTGTGAATGATATTTTTAGGAGCTGTTTCAAGTATCCAGCACACTTGGCCTTTTGTACAAACAATAAACAACTCATTTAAATAAGTGTCAATCACTTGTCTTTATTAAAAGTAGTAGGAATTGCGCCTACTGAATTATTCTTGACTTTCAAAACTGCTAAATTTTCAAGTAATAATGAAACTTTTCTACTTAATAAAAGATTTCTTGTCCCATGTATTCTAATAGCCGATGTTCAGACTGATGTTTCAGAGAGTAGGGTTGCGGGCCCAATCCTGATCCCATTCAGATTAGCTGCCCGTTATAGATTTTATAGGCTTGGAGCCAATATTTATGCAATTATTGCCCATGTCACTGTCGAAAAGAAGCCGAAAGGGGTTGATTATTGAGCTATAAACCCGATTTTTGCTGTCAGGCTGGCTGAGGTACAGGAAATCAAGGTTTGAGCAGTGCAAATACCAAAGTGCTGGTTTTCCCTGAAGGCAGAGGGAAAAGCAGGTCTCACCTGCTCGCTGGCCCGCTCATTCAACCATCTGTCCGTCCATCCGTCTGCTGGAAGCTGAGCGCAGGGGTCCACGGCGGCGGCAGGATTTCCTTCCCCCGAAGCTTCTCCCCTGCGCATTTGTCTGCCAGGAAATCGTGTTCCCCGCGAAACCCGAAATATCTGCCGGGACCTCCTCCTGAGATAGCCCCCGAGAAGCCGCGGCTGAAGGCCATTGCTAACTTCCTAACATTTGTGAGCTTGTTCTGCTTCTAACCCTCCGGCTTCAACACGTATTCTCACGTTTCCTCCGTGTCCGAGGCGATTCCTGCTGCTCCTCGAAGGCGAGACGGGAAAGTTGGAGGTCAATGCAGCGGGCGGCGTGGGAACGGGGACGGGGATGGACACGGAGAGGGAGCGCGACAGCACCACGGCTGC